CCCCCCGGGGGAAAATTTCTGAAGTAATCACTGCTGCCCAAAAATATGTGAAAACCTACCCATCACACTGTGACACCCAACCCCGTGGGTGGGGCTGGGTGTCACACGCTGGAGACATTTTTTTTTTTTTTTTTTAGGAAAGGCTATACCAGGATGAAAGGAGAAGGAGGTACACTTACACATGGCCAGGTGGGGTGGAGGGTAAGAGACACAAGACAGGGTGGGTGGAGGGGAGGGGAGATCTAATAACCTCCGTTTCCTGACGTCCGGAAATCTGAACAACACTACAGAAATGACTGATGTAAAATAAAATAGACAAATTTTTAATATTTCTGACGTTTCATCACTAAATGTCAGGAGAATGTTTTATCATAATTGGTATTCGTAATTTAAGTGCAATATGCCCCCAATATGCCTGATGACACTGCGTGTTGGAAAACGTGGCAAGTTTTAGAAAAAAAAAAGCAACATATAAATTATAAACATAACAATTAAAAATATGGAAACAGGAACAGTTTCTGATTGGACGAGAGGGGAGACCACTCGGAGGCTGCATATCGAGCAGTTTTCCTGGAAAAGTAAGCGGAAAATCCCTCTGTTACTTATAATCACGTCCTACAGAGTGGCTGATCTTTAGGATCTGCTGTATTTTGTTACAGCGACATGCGTTACGTTGAATTGATCTTATATGGTTTCACAATGCTATGCTAGTTGCTTAGCTAGGGTTAGTGCCGAACCTCTTCCAAAACAAAAACCATGCAGTTGGTCGAAATCGACGCCCCTACATTCAAAGAGAAAAAGTTCCTCCCAGGGGTGGACCACCCCCTCCACCTTCTTCTCCCTACGCCACTTTGCTACACACAAGGGCCCAACAAATCATGTGTAAGGACTAAAATATTGGTGGGTTGTTGGGCCATTCACCCCTTCCCCGCTCTATCCCTCTCTCTTCTCTTCTCTTCTCTTCTCTTCTCTTCTCTTCTCTTCTCTTCTCTTCTCTTCTCTTCTCTTCTCTTCTCTTCCTTTCTTTCTTTCTTTCTTTCTTTCTTTCTTTCTTTCTTTCTTTCTTTCTTTCTTTCTGTTTGTCTGTCTGCCGGTATCTGTATGTTCCAACTGTCTTATTATATTCGATCCCATGCCTTCTTCTCTATATAATGTGACACCAGCTTTTATCATCATCATTATCATGTCTCTTAGTGCTTGGACCGTTGGGGCGCCACTGATGACATGAAAACTATCCTCCTCCATTCGACTCTGCTTTCTGCGCAGAATCTCCTAGTTTTAGTCCCGTCCACTCTTTCAGTAGCTCGTTATGCACACACCATACACATTTATTGATTTGAATTAACCGTATAAAGTAATTGAAGTGTATAAAGATGCTGCGCCCCCCCCCCCCAAAAAAAAAAGTGACACCCGCTCTTCACTACACATGGGCCACCCTCCCACAAAACCCCTACACACCATACACATTTATTGATTTGAATTAACCGTATAAAGTAATTGAAGTGTATAAAGATGCTGCGCCCCCCCCCCCCAAAAAAAAAAGTGACACCCGCTCTTCACTACACATGGGCCAGCCTTCTCATAAAGCCCGCGCATGTTTACCTATGTTTCGACAGCATATCTACAAACATTGAGATCTAGTTTGGTTCATGCTTCTTTATCATATATGGCCCTTCATGTACCGTGTCACCCATCAGCTGAAGTGCGCGGCTAACCATGTCTTACCCGGAGACACCCCTTTGACACAAGTCGTCACACTATGTCCTACTTTACCCGGAGACACCCCTTTGACACAAGTCGTCACACTATGTCCTACTTTACCCGGAGACACCCCTTTGACACAAGTCGTCACACTATGTCCTACTTTAAAAGCAACCGTTCAGTGGGGGCGGAGGGGGAGGGGAGTATTGGGGCGGGTTGTGCCATAGAAATCCCTGGTATGCATTTGACCCAACATCGAGTCGAGGTAGTTTCGAAAGTGCTCTACACGCCTACGTTATTTGTTCATGTCGTGTTTCTTCGCTGGACTTGTTTTAATTAAGGAGTTGTTTGGCATGGGTTCCCGTTGAGGTAAGCCGAGCAGTGTAGATTCGTCATTGGGTCATATATAATCAATGGTGGATTTAGCCTTCCTTGTTTTCCATGTGCCTTTTATAACTTAATTTCAGTGTCTACAAATAATCGGATTTATTTCATCATTTAAACTATGACATTTTTTTGTGTCACCCTTGCTTCATGTTTTGTAAAAAAATTTTTTTTAAAGGAGGGGGGGGGGGGGGGGGGTTTGTCATAACTTAATACAATGTCTAACAAGAATACTGGAGGCGCCTGTTGTGATTCTAACTTGAACTAACGACGGGTTTGTGCTAAAGCAGTTCACGGGTATTTAAGTCTAAGTTTTCATTAACAGAATCAATTAAAGCCGTAAGATGGTGAGAGTAAAATAGCTCACAGGTTACTGCATGTAGATAGCCCACAAGTTACTGTAGATAGTCACAGGTTACTGTAGATAGAAAGTAAACAAGTTACTGTAGATAGTCCACAAGTGACTGTAGATAGCCCACACGTTACTGTTGATAGCCTACAGGTTACTGTATATAGCCCACAGGTTACTGTAGATAGCCCACAGGTTACTGTAGATAGCCCACAGGTTACTGTAGATAGCTAGTTAGCCCACAGGTTGCTGTAGATAGCCCACAGGTTGCTGCAGACAGCCCACAAGTTACTGTAGATGGCCCATAGGTTAATGTAGATTATAAGAGCGTTGAAATGTGTTGCTTTAATTGTTTACCATCAGTGCTGCAATTCTGAGAATACCTGGTCTGGTCGCTTTAATACAGCGTTAATTTGCGTACAATTTTTCACTTTTTAGAAGAGAGAGAGAAAGAGAGAGAGAGAGAGAATGAGGGAGGGGAAGAAGGAGGAGAGGTTAAGAAAAACAACGAGAGTTGTGTCAATTAATATGTCATACAACCCATGGCCATGTGTTTTTTTGAAAGACCCCCCCCCACCACCCCCCCCCTTTTTTTGAAAACCCCCCCCCCCCCCCCCGCTGACGTTCACAGCATTGTCATATAACACAACATGCCTGGTACTTAATTAATGTAAAATAAAAAGAACAAAAAAAGATGGGCATATTATTCTGTAAAGACTTCAAAGGTCCTTGTTTCATGGAATGTGGTACGCTGACCAGGCTATATCAGTGGGAAGTTATAGAAACGAAATGGCACTACCATGTAAAAGCGTCTAGAATGCATTTCATTTTAACTGTATTGCGTCGTATAACAATGTGATCGAACTTATAATCCATCTACATGTCATTTAATTATTGCTCAATTTAAGATGAAATGCCCAATTTAAGATGTAGTTGAGAAAGAATGACTTTACCGTAGCATAATAGCCCTTGTTTTCACACAGCCTTTTAGATTTCAGATGCTATATTTTGACAGAAATTGATTCCAGGTTGTTGCTTTTTAATGAGGGAAAATACCTTGATCTCAAGGTCAGTTGGTTGCGATTGATTTTTAAAAATTGAATCATCGTTAACATACAGGGCCGGATTTTCCATCAGGTCAACAACCTAGGCTATTGGCTGGCACAGGGCGCAGCGGGCACACACACACGCACGCACACACGCACACGCACACACACACACGCACGCACACACAGACACAGACACACACACACAGACACACACAAAAAAGGGGGGGGGGTCATTATTATTTTAAAAGGCTATAAAGATGCTTTTTAAAAAAAAAATTACATCCTTTTACATTAATTAAATTGAGCAGTATGTTTACGTTGCCCATCTCTACACAGTGACGTCATTTCAAGTTTTGTCACATAAAAAAGGGGGTGGGGGCAAACCAAAACTTAGCCGGCTTGTTGGAGTGTTTACTACTGGGGGCGCCACAATACATAGCAATTTAAATAAAACTTGCAAATTTAGAGGGATTTACTCAGCGTGAAACACGTGATAAAGGGGCTTTTCAGATGAGGCGTTTCAATGGACACATTGTGATAACATTTACCAACATCTCAAAACAAAATGACGCTGAAAGTGAAAAAACAATTGAAATTTTTTTTTTTTTTTTTTTATTTTTAGTTGATTTTTTTTTTTGTTG